TATCTTCTCTGAAGAAGAGACACTAGATGTGCTTTCCATGTTGGAGTATATATATAAAAAAATAATCCTGTTTTCCTTGATGTGGGAATTGAGTAGGAGGAGTTATTTTTGTTTAAGTAACCTTTCCAAGTTGCATTTATATTTTTTTTCTTGTCATGTCCCATATTGCACATCTCCTTTTTTCTTAATATTTTGTGTTGCTAGAGGAAAAATTCATAAAAAATGAGGCCTCAACTAGGAGTTCTTAATAGTGCCACAGTACAAACAGTACCATTGCTACGTAGTGTTGCCATAAAAGGCGTTCACAAAGGGCATACATCTTGCAGTCCATGCTTGATTATCAGAGTTCATGTGTACTTAACTGTAGTAGTTACAAAAAGCCAAAAAGTTAAGTAACTTCCAGTCTCTGCAGAATGTTGAAAAATACTTGAATGTCTCATCACAACATGAAGAAACAAATTTTTACGGTTATTTTCTCAAATCATTGTCTTTTCAGAACCTGCATATGTCAAGCCTTGTCACAGCTTGTACTTGTGATCATGTTAGTTTCCTGTTTGAACAGCTCTTCCGAGTTTGCTCATTACTAAAACAGTGATCTGACTTCCATTAAGCACAGTAGGTGGGTGCTCAGACAAGAGAACAAAGTGGTTAAAAGCTGAAGAGTTGCCATGTGATTTGTATGCCAAAATAATGCTGCAAAATGAGCCACGCTTGCTCCTTCACTGGAGCACTATCAGGGGTTACAATTGGTATCATTTCAGAGAGCTGTCTTGGTGTGTTAATAGGTGAGCATCATTTCTGACAGTAACTTAGGCAAAAGTTTGCTAAACTTGTTCAGTGACCACAGGAGCTTTTCTAATTAGAGCCACAGTGCGTTTTTATATACAATTCTGTGTTGGTTTTGAGTGCCTGAAAAAAATGAGGTGGTGAGGATGGTAAGAGAGCAGCTTAAGATAAATGCATTTCAATCACTTGTTACCCTGGCAGATAAAACTGGGCTCTCCTGTTGCCTCAGCAAATTTTAACCAAGAAGCTTAAATAAAAGATGCAAGACAACTTAGTGGATATTTCTCACGCGTTGCAGTAGCTGGAAGGAGGAGGTCTAAGCTGGCTGCTTTGGAGACCTGATAGCAAGGTGTGCATAAGCGAGTGCTGAACCTGTGATGCCCACGCTGGGCCTTGGCTGTGCTGCATCAGTTGCTGTAGCTGTAAATTAAGGATCTTTAGAAGTTGCTGAGATGATACTTTCTGTCTCAACTGGTCTGTTTTGTTTGTGTGGAACTGTTTTCTTAACAAGTGCTTAAAATAAGGGTCGTGAGGTTTGTGTGAACATCTTTCTCAAGTCGCAAAAAGTGAGGAAGCATGTTTCTGCTGTTCATTAGCAACTGTGCTGTTTACTCAATTGTAACCGCAAGGCCAAAATCTCCGCTTGCACTCCTGTAGTCAACTGAAAGGAAAGGTGTGGGTACACCTGTGGACAGGACTTGGCCTAGTGCGTTACTTGTAAGGATCTCAGCTTGACTTTCATATCACTAATTTTGTAAGACTGGCAGCTTGGAAAGAGTTTTACTTACGATATCTGATAAGGACTCATTAATACAAAAAAGAACCAACCAGAGTTACTGGCTCAGGTCAGGTACAGAGTCCAGTAACGCACAGCCCGGAATCCTGTTTCTGATGAGGAGAAGCAGTGGCTGCTAAAGAAGTGGTGTCCTGCTTTCTTGGGGCTGTTGCGGTTTGTCTGGTTCTTAATACAATGATAATTCCTTGCTGTTTTCTCTCTGATTCTGACCCTCAGGGTTTTTTTCAGATGCAGTGGAGCTGGCATGTTGTTCTTTATAGAGGAATCTGCACTTTGATGTTTAATTTCTGACAGTTTTTTTGTTCCAGAGTCTAGACAATTAAACAACTGTTTTCAAACACTGCCACCTTTCTATAGTTAACTTTAAAAATCCTCTTACATCAGAATGCTTTTGAACACTTGTCATTTTTCACTTTTATCCAGAAATGTTTCATCATTCTTTATTTTGATGTGGTTTGTTTTCATCTTATTTCATCCCTAATCCTCTAAAGGAACTAAATGCACTCCGGTGTAGAGCACCATTAAGTAAAGTCCTAGCATCTTAAGAAGTTGCTTGGGCAAAGTTCAGTATATGTAATCCCCCATGTGACACAATGATACATGCATAGGTGTTGCGACAGGGGTTGTCCTTTGGGCAGGTTCTCTTAGTCAGCTGTTTGTGGCTTCCTGAGGGACTGACCTGGAGGTAACAGCGATGTCTGTCAGGTTGGCCAGCTGAAATAGCACAGCCTGAGCTCAGAGCCAGCTACTCAGGTCCTGAAGCCTGCAGCTGGCTCTTCCTGGCCATCCCAATGCAAATTCTATAGCATGTAAAAGTATTTTGGGGTCACTTCAAGTGGAAGAAAATGTCAAGCACCTAACTGTGCTTTTTTGTTAAAGCACAGTTTCCACTGGCATGTGGAAAACACTCTAAAATGGATCTACGAAAACACAGTCCTCCCTTCAGTGAGTTTCAAGTCCCACAGAAGACTTGATACAGAGCTCCCTAGGTTTTTTTGGATCAAAGCATGTTCTTTTCCACTGGGAGACTTCAGTGCCAGAACTTGCCTTCACAGCACATGCATGAATACAGCACTCCAGGTCTACTTACTCATTTTACACTACATGACCCTGAAAGATCTCTATTTACTCAGCCTCAGGGAACAACATAGAGGCAGTTTGTTAGCCTTGATTAACTACAGAATGAGACGGGGAAGGAGGTGTGTGTATGATAAATACCCAAAGTATTGAAGAAACACTTTGAAATATTGAAGAAAGTGAAGGCTCTATAATAAGAAGTAGTTGATACAAAACCTGTTGTTTAGTGGCCAGCTGCAGCAAAGTTTGCTTCACCATTCACCAGCAGTTTGACAATCAATTTCTTCATTGCTAATGGTAATTTTGCCAAGATCTGTCTGCGGGGTTGTGGGTGGTCTGTGGGCTGGAGAAAAAGAGCTCACTGATCTTCTGTGAGGACTGGTTATGGTGCGATTCTGAGATCACCGTCTGAGCGAGAGCCCCCTGCAAGCTTCTACCTGTTCTCACTAGCATGAAATTACCTCACCCACCTTTTTATAAATTGCCTGCAGTAACAAGCTGAACAATGTGAAGTCAAACCTCAAATACGAAACAGTGGAACACTGTATTCCTGGAGCCAGTTACATAAAAAGTGCATGACCAGGAAATGCATGCAGCAGTCATGTCTTGTGTACCTAGAATCAAGTTTTCTTCTCTTTTTCTCAAGTTTAATTCTAATGTACAGGATATTGTGAGCTGACATTTATTTTCTTTTTTTTCTGCTGACTGCATCAGGTTTTTTCCCAAGATTCTGCTTCTGAGTACAACTTTTATATGTATATTTATGTATGTACACAGAGACAGAGATTGGTTTTTTTAATTAAAAGAAATACACTCAGTTAATTTCTGCTTTACTTTAAGGCCACAATAATAAAAAAATTACAAAAATTTCCATTGATATCTTTAAAAATACTACATACCTACAACAAAAAATACACTTCTAGGTGTTCTGTTAAACTTACTGTTCTCACTTAGGTAGACTGAAGAACAAACATAACTGGGATATGACTCATGCAGCCGGTTGCCTCGTGGCTGCCTGCCTTTTCCAAACTGGCAAAGGGAGTACAGTAGGAGCTACATAGGTAACTTACATAGGGGCCGGCTGCTTATACAGCAATCAATTCTTCTAAGTTCAAGTAGCATTCAGTCACCCATTGTATTTCTCGTGATCTCTGCAGGACTGTTCTCTGGGTTGTCTCCAGTACATGGTCAGGTTTGAATACCTTCTTTGGTGTCTCACTCTTCTTCAGTAAAAATCGTTAAAAAATAGTATAAAGATAAAGAAATTATTTGTTTGTTCCTTTTCTTCGGTACATGAAAGTGTGACCAGTAATCTGATCCGGTGTGCAAAGACTGAGAGATGCTTAAGTCACTTTGTCTTATGAACTCTGGACTCTTTTTACATAGCAACAAGTGTGTTTGTTTATTTGTTATACTGTACGTCATGTTCCTTATCGCAGCCCCTGGCTCTGCCCACGTGTATCACCTTGATTATGGTACGAGTCATGGAATGCTAACAGTACAGCAAAGATTATTGCTTCTGAACAGCAGCGCTGTCTGAAATACTAATACTGGTGTATTTCATCAGGACAAGATTTAATAAATCTATCAAACAGGTTTATTGTGGCCAAAGTCTTAAAAAATGCAATAAATGCCTACCCTTGTATTCAGATACAAAAAACCCACTCAGTTTTGGAGGCGGTGGGGAGTTACAAGAGGTCACTGCACGGTGTTCATTGATCAGACCACTTTATTAAAAGCCCGAATACTTGCTTATGTAAAGATTTAGGATATTAAGTTGAGGATCTTAGTTTATATGCCCAGAGGTCACTGAAAGTAGAGTGAGGGTTTAGGTGTTTAGGGGCTTCTTCCTTAAAATAAATTTCTAGCAAAAGACATTATCTTAAGGTTTGTAAAAGTTTCCTTGTAATCATAATATTCTATATGTTACACTTATAGGCATTCCGATCTGTAGAACCCTTATGAAATGTGTTTAGTAGACGAGAAATTTTAAGCGGCATAGTTGATTAGTCCGAAGTTTTGAGGGAGGCAATTTTATAATTCTGCTTCTCCCTCCCATGCAATACCTGATTTGTCATCATGTGGCTGCTTATATTGGCCAACTCATTTGGTGGTGGTTTTTTGCTATACTAAATTCTGTGAAATTCTTTTGAGATCCTTTTTAGACTTCCCTTTGTTTTACTTCCTGGAGGGCAGGTAACGTATCAGAGCCAGCTCACTGTTTAACTAATGTCTCATAGGTAGGAAGAGAGGGGAAAAAAAAACCAGGGAAGGGAGAGTGCGTCATGTTGGAGGAGGAGGGTAGCAAAGAAAAATGAGCTTTCTTAAACAAATCGCGTGCAGAGGGATAGGCTGCTAGGGCTTGGGTGCTTCTCGGCCGGGGCTCAGCTCTCTTCTCTGCTGGCTACGATGCAGGAAACATCTGGAGTGCTGAAGGAGGGCTTCCTCGTCAAACGGGTAAGTGCTCCGGTTCCCCTTCGTGCAGTTCTGCTCAAACGTGGAAGCATCCCCTGAGCAGGGACTGGACCGAGCCAGGGCTCGTGGCAAGGCAGCGTTTTGGGTGCCGGGTTTAAAGAGCTCCTTTTGGCTCCCGGGAAAGGAACTCCTCCAGGTCGATGCAGATGCCTGCCAGTGGAGCTTCATGAACTGCAGGTGTTCGCTACCCTCTCTCGAGTTTCCCTATGTTGGCATTCACCCAGGGGAAAGTGAATTAGCTATCAGGATTACTCAGGTATCAGAAAGCCAATATGTCTGGGCACACCTCTGCAAATAGCACATAAAAAACTACCTGGTAAACGTCTATGTGGCAGCAGTGGAAGTGGCCATGGGAGGGTGGACAGAGGGAAGATGTTTTGACAGTCTCTTAAGATAGTTTGTGCCTTCTTTAGCAACCCAGCTGAGCAGGGTTTCCCATTTCATATGAGAGGATGGAAAACAGGCAATCCTTTTTGAAGGGGATCAGAGCAATGCAAAAGTAGAAATGTGTTTGAAATAACCTCTTTCTTCCACACCCCTCAAGCTGCACTATAAGAAAATTTTAGCCAAAATGTGGAGAAAAGAGCTGAAAGATGGTGTCACAGATTTCAGCCTTTCCAATACTTCTCCCTATAGGACCAAGTCAGTCATAGCTGGGACACAAGGAGGCAACTTAGCAAGGGGCATAAGCTGCCTTTAGTATGTCTGTCTCAATTTTACCCTGTCTCAATGTCTAACACGGTCCTTGATTCTGCACAAAAAAACGTGATTCAAAGCTTTGTTCAAAGCTTTGCCGCGCCTTGGGAAATGCTTTTCTACAGTACGTGGCAGTGCTTCTGGTGCTAACATGAAGGTAATCCTGGTCTGGAGCTCTCCTGGCTGGGCCCCCAGCCAGCCACCAGCCATGTGAGGCTGTGCTCTATGCAGAGAAAGGCTGCACAGCCTGAGCTGTTCCTCATCCTCCCTTCTGCAGTGAGGGCAAAGCAGTCCCAGATCCTGCTCTCCTCTCTGGGCTACGGTTGTATTTTGTGACTCTTAAGTGACTACTGAATTCCAGATGGGAAGCCAAGGCATCAAGTGTGTGAGAGGAGTAGATTATGGGTGGCACACTGAGCTGTGACTGCCAGCAGTCTGTACATCACCAGGTACGCTGTTGATAGGAAAGAGACCACAAAGGCAATGAAAGGAAACTAAGGGAGGAGGGAACAAGGAATCCAGAGAAAAAAATGAGGAAGAGTGAGGATCAGGTAAAGAAAACAGAACTTGCTTAAGAGGAGAGCAAAAGCAAGGAGATGATCTAAATGCATTATAAATGACTGAATTATGTGTTGTAATATATTATAAATACAAAGCAAATATGTGGAAGTCAAGCAAAGGTAAAGGAAAAAAGGTAAGGCAACCTCCTGAAAAAGATGAAATCTCCAAGAAGGAAAAAAAAGAGCCAAGAAAAGAGCCATAGCAAAGAATATACTCTCAGGAAAAATGGCCAAGGGACTTTACCACGGGTGAAAAAAAACAACGAAGAAGGTAAAAGGAAGGAGAGAACAAACGCAAATTAGATAAATTGTGTTCAGTATAGACTAGAAGACATTAGATCTAAAGTGCCCTGGATTTTAGAGACTCATTACCCCACCTATTCTTGGAAATTGCTGGTTTTCCCCTTTACTCATAGAGAATTAATGAGCTTTGATTCCTGCCACAACTGGACACAGCATGCTCCTTTCTCCTAGCTATGCCCACCCTCTCCCAGGTGTCAGAGCTTCCTCTACTCAGTGCTTGTCTGCTGGCTGTAACCTCCATCGCCTGGGGAAATGCAAGTCAGCTCCCTGCACCGAAAAGCTGGACCTGACACCGCCAGACAGGACTGAGCCTGTCAGTGCCAGCCCTGGCTGGGTTTGCTCTCCCAAACAGCTGGGCTAAAGACAGCCAGGGGCTGTTTACAGAAGGGGAAGCAGAGAATTTGTCTGTATTCTGGTACAACCCTGGAGGCGTTTAACCGCAGCCTTCATTCGGTCTTTTGCCATTAAAAAGTGTTATTTCCTTCACGGGAAACAGTAGCACAAGCGATGTTTTAGTCCAGAAGACTGGAGGCAGGTAGGACAGAAATAAATCACTCATTAGCAGTAAGAGATGTAAGGAAAAGCCAATTCACCCAGCAAAGTGATCTCAAAACCACTTAGCATCTACAGCCACATCAAAATGACAAAGAACAAAACACATCAAAACACCAACCAGAGTCACCAGAGAGGAGGAGTTTGTCCTTAGGAGCCCTCACGCATTTCGGATTTAGCGCTGTTTCTGTCCGGTGCTGTCAGCGGGCAGACATGCACCTAAATGACAGCTTTCTGAGACAATTCATGTGAGCTTTTGCAAGAAACAATTCTTGCCAGCAAAGAAACGTCCTTGCTGGAGGAAGAGCAGAGCACCTTTCTCTTGCTCCGTGATTTTATAGTGATGGAGCTGTGCTATTCTGTTACTAAAAACGCATATTTCAGGGAGAAAAGGACTTGTGATGACTTCTGGTGCTTCTTTTCATACAGTTTCCTATTATTTTATGGTGTTGTCACACAGGGGGGGAAAGAAAAGGAAAAGAAAATATGGTCATTTCTCAATGCCTGTGTTAAAGTTAGCTATTGTGGATTTCTTCCCCTCTAGGGACATATTGTTCGTAACTGGAAAGTAAGATGGTTCGTTCTGCTTCAGGATAAGCTGCTGTATTACAAAATTGAAGGAGGCAAGAAGGAGCCAACTCCAAAGGGCAGGATCCTTTTGGATGGCTGCACTATTACTTGTCCATGCCTGGAATACGAGAACAGACCGGTACGACTGGAAAAATGTATCCCTTCTCAATGACACCCACTTTCTAACTTCTGAGTCTTTTCTACTCCTCCCAATTTCTTTGATTACTGCAACCATGCCACTTGGGTGTTTCCAGAATTAGGTCCAGCCAAAAGCAAGTTGCCATTAGCAACATAACCAGGACAAGAAATTAACTCCCTCATTGTGTCTTTGCTGTTCCCTGTGCCCAAATCTGCGTAGCAGCCAGTAACAAAAAAGAAAAAACCCACCACACAAAAAAGCCACCCTCCACACAAAAAAAAAAAACCACCTTCCACACATACAGTGGGAAGAATAAATGCAAATGCATCAGCCCAACAGTGTGTGAAGAGAGGACATGGATGTCTCAAGAAAATCTGAGGAGGATAGGAAAAAAGGGAAGCTTATCTCTGGTAGCTGCCATAAACCCTGCTGTGTCCACAGGGCGCTCCCGGGCAGCCCGGTCAAACTCCCTTTTCCTTCACCAATGGGACTTCACCACTGTAGAAAGTTTCCAGCAAGAGAGTTCTGGAAGGGAAAGTGCCTTCTGCGCTTCTCCGCTCACCCATGGGTAGCAGCACTGCAGACTTCTTCGGAGTGGGGCCAGAAGGGAAATGACTCTGGAAACTGCTGACTATTTCAGAACTTCTTGTGGCAGAAAGAGCCTAGCGAGAGTTCATGGTTGTTGAGAAACTAGAGATCCGGATGTGAAAAACTCCATAGTCAGCAGTACACTCCTATGTAATCCAGTTTCTGCGTGGTCTGCTCCCTTTTAAGTACCACAAGCTCCGTGCATGCAAACCATGCAGAACAGAAAATACAGGGATTTTTGGCTGAGGGGAAGCAAAAAAAAAAAACAAACCCAGAGCTGTGCCCACCATTCTTTTGGCCAAGAATAGCTCTGTAATGCTCAGGTGGGATGCCATATCAGACTTATTTGTGTCATCTGGGCCAGTGCTAAAAGAAGCCAAATACGAGTGGAGGACATCAGCTAAATGATATTATTGCTTTGTGCTTCTTTCTCCACAGCTACTCATCAAACTAAAGACAAAAACCAACACAGACTATTTCCTTGAATGTTGCTCCAGGGAGGAGCGAGACTCTTGGGCTTTGGACATCACTGGAGCTATTCATGCTGGTCACCCAGTACAGGTACAAGAGCTTCACAGAATGAAGAACTCTTTCAAACTGCTAGAGAATATCAGCCTCCAGTAAGTGTATATGGTTTTTCCTTCCGCTGTTGCTGTAGCTGGCAAAGTGCCTGAGCTGATGGATGAGGAGGGTCAAGGAAAGTTTCTGCACTGATCTGCTCCCATGTGGCTGGGAGCCTCTAAACTGGCTGCTCTGCCCTAGGTTTGCACATACTTTTGCCAGGGCACAGGAATGCACTTTTTCCTGACCATTATTTTTTCGGATTATATGGGTTCTGCAAGGACATCTCACTGCTGCTTTGAAGACCTTCCTAGTCAGCTGCAAAGTTTCTCAGTGTGAAGATGTATTACTTTGGAAGATGTAATGTCAGGGAAAGACTGAGCAATGACATTTTTCATGCCATAGATTCATAGATTCATAGAATTTCTAGGTTGGAAAAGACCTTAGAGATCATCCAGTCCAACCGTCCCTAATCTCCCATTAAACCACATCCCTAAGTAGTTCATCCACCCTTTTCTTAAACACATCCAGGGATGGAGACTCAACCACCTCCCTGGGCAGCCTATTCCAGTGGCTGACAACCCTTTCAGAGAAGGAATTCTTTCTAACATCCAACCTGAATCTCCCCTGGCTAAGCTTATACCCATTTCCTCTTGTTCTATCACCCATCACTAATGTAAAGAGCCCTTCCCCCACCTCCCCACCATCCCTTCTCAAGTACTTGTAGGCTGCAATCAGGTCTCCCCTGAGCCTCCTCTTCTCCAGGATAAACAGCCCCAACTCCCTCAGCCACTCCCCATAAGTTTTATTTTCCAGCCCCTTGACCAGTTTAGTCGCCCTTCTCTGGTTGGTGAGCTTTCAAAGCTGGTAGCTGGAATCCAGACTAGGATTTTTAGAGGGCATCACATTACACAAGAGGAAAAATAGCATTGATTGAGAAATAGAAAAATGACATTGATTTGATTTGTATTGAGAAGGTAAATGGAGGCTGACTGTAGCTCAGTTTGAAGTGCTTTAAACCAAAAGATACTTTATAAGGCATCTTGTTTAGTGCTGCTATTGGGGTAATAAAGTTTTCCTATACCGTACCTAGGAAAAAACTTCTGGGGGAGTATCTAGGCTGTTTCCCATCTTTATGTTGATAATCTTGAGGACATCCCAGGCACTGACAGAAGCAGGTGACAATTTCTGCCTGTCTTTCTATTCTACTAACAGTCCTGTGCTCTCTTTTACAGCCACATAGTGAAGAAAATGTGTGACAGCAGTACTGGAATTAAGCTGACCCGCAACTTGGAGCAAGGCAACAGATACAAAGAGACCTTCACAGGTACACCTGCTGCAGGCAAAAAGCTTCCTCACATTTGACATGTCATGTTGCACAGACAAGGGAGCTACTATACTGCCTTCGTGGTGGGACCAGTTGTGGCCCAGTGGAAAGTAGCAGTGCAGCCAACCTCTCCAACACCTTTCTCTCTCGCTCTTTGGATATGTGGAAGCACATGTAGGATCCCGCACTTTTGGTCAACGTTGCATTTCATTCAAAGTCTTTGCAATGGCGCCAAAATGTTGCAGCAAATGAATACATGTGTGGCAGGAGACCACCTGTCTCACTTTGGAAGAGCATGTTGCCTCGGTATGAGAGCTGCCTTTCTCCCTGCAGGTTCTGCACTGGTGGACTGGCTCATCTCCAGCAGCTTTGCTGTGTCACGGTTTGAGGCCGTCACTTTGGCATCCATGCTGATGGAGGAGAACTTCATCAAGCCTGTGGGAGCCCGCAGCACTGAGGCCACACGTTACAGCGACCTCTCTGAGCAGTTCCTTGATGACTCCACTGCACTGTACATGTTTGTAAGTGATGCAGCTGCCAACAGAGGGACCTCCTCTGCCCCTTGTCACACCCTTGATTTGGGGGGCAGTGGAAAAGGGGCCATGCACAGCCTGCAACCAAAGGCAAAATATGCAGGCTATGAAAGCAAACACAGAAGGAGCAGCCCTAGGCTTTTAGTGGTGCTGACACTTGCACTTTTGCTGGAGTCAAATAGCTGCCTGGATATGGAGGGATCTACAAATTACATAATTAGGCATTAAAAGGGGTGTGTCCCTCAAGTGCACTGCGTGTCTGCATTTAACGGAGGCTGTGCTGTAGTTAGGCTAAAACTCAAGGCCACAGTGTCCATGTGGAGGCTTTACTGCTGTAATATGTTGCCTGTAAACGTCAGACCTACAAAGCTGAGCAGCAGGGCTACAGAGTAGAATTTACTCAGGAAATATGAGCTAAAAACAGCTCAAGGAAAATAAAATGCAGAACTTTGTACTTAAAAATGTGTTTAGATTAAAAAGAAAAGTTGAACAATCTTTTCCCTATTTGCAGGCTGAGAGCAATAAGAAAAATAGCAGTTCCAAGGAAGAGGTACAATTTAACATCTCTGAGTTAAGCGGCACGATTGTGAAGCAAGGATTCTTAGTGAAACAGGTAAATACAGTATCTGAACATTCACTGAAAAACAAGAAAAATGACAGCTTTTAGGACTTCCTAGAGAAGAAATGTGATTTATATGAGCATGTCTGGAGAGCTGTGGCCAGTAGGGCTAACTTGCCTGTCAGCACTACTGTCAGAGACGACGCAGTGAAGGGTATTTAGTTATAAAATCATGAGCTACAGAACTTGTTGCTCAGGCAGGATTAATTGGATATTCTGTATTCAGTGAGTGCATACTGAAAGGTATAAAACAGCATCAAAAGCAAAAGTCCCACACGAACTCCAAATCCCACCAGAGGTGTTACATTCACTTCCAAGGAGATCCACATTCCTCTGATTTAACCTGTCTCATCCAGGTTGCGTGAGCAGCTATGATGTTCTGTTGGCCACAGACAAATTTCAAAGCTGAGTAGATTGACTTTTGCATGAAGTGGACATTTACCTGTGGACAGTCACTCACGCACATGTGCATGCTCTGGTGGTGGTAAGACCCGTTTTCTTTGGGCATGAAGAAATTTGGGCACAAATTCCTGTTGGCAGGAATTGTTTACAGGATCTTAGCCTGCAAGATTTAGTTTCTGACCCTTGCTACGAAGAAGACAAGGATCAATCATGCTGTTTCAAAGCATAATGCAGTCACCTGAAGAGGGAACCCTACCTGCACTGCATGGCCACCTTTCTACTCGAGCTTTGTAACCTATGCTGAGATTTTAGTGTTGTGCAAACTGGATCATCAGATGATCCTCAGTCCTCCCTCCTCCAGCTGCTAGGGTGCAGCGAGGGTTGGTGGGGCACTGGGTGCCAGGAGCTGCTGGGTGATCCCCATGGGGCTGGCAGGGCAGCCTCCCTATCACCACAGGCCATCAGAGCTGCCCAGGAGCCTCTCCCATGGTCAGCAGCAGTAAAGGGGAGCCCCCAGCAGCCCCAGACCTGAGCCCCAGCACCAAATCTCCAGGAGCGGGGATGCTCTCAGGGCTGGCACAGGCTTGCAGTGCTGTCCTGCACTGTCAGCACTGAGAGGGCTGGGGGCAGAAGAGTGGAGAGCTGCAAAAGGACCTGACATAATCCCCTCAGAGCACGCACAGCATGGGTTTTTAATCCAAGACCCATATTTAATCTGCAATTAAGAGCAGGGATCAGAGATATAATCACTTGGTCCTGTCACTCTGCTTTCTTGGTTCTCAGTACAAGGAAGGGAGAGAGGGAGGAATTATTACTGTATGAAGAAGGATGTTAAGCAGAAAATCCTGGGAGTTACTAAGATGTCAGAAAATATTTTTCTCTGTTGGTGCCAAACCCTCTTTTTCAGTACCTATTTAGGTCTCCCCTACAGCCTGCAGGAAAATGGACATTTCAGGAGGTATTTACTGGTGGTAACTTTAATTTGCCTGTCTTGCAGGGACACAAGAGGAAAAACTGGAAGGTGAGGAGATTTGTTTTGAGAGCTGATCCTGCTTTTTTGCACTACTATGACCCCACTAAGGTATGTGAGTGGGGAGTCACTACCCCCAGAAATCCTTTTACAGACCTAAACATTATAATGAAAATACAACTATGCTGTAAACGTTTCCCTCACCCAAATCTCCCTCCAGGTTCCTCTATTCATTTTCTGGGAAGTAAGACCTCTCTGGCCTTATCCTGGGAGGTTGTCCTTGTAGGATTTTCTATCCCTCTACCTTCCTTCCTCTCTTTTCCCCGGTGAGATTCCTTTTCCTTAGCTGAGGGGCAGCATTCTTCTTGCGATTGCTCTTTTTCTGTACCCGCACAGTCTGGGACCACTGTCCTGCAGGGATTCTTCCTGGACTGTGATCTTTCTGGGCTGACACCCCACCACCTGAGGGTCATACTGCTACTGGGATTTTTTTATGTTCTTCTTCCAACATTGAATGAAGCCTCCTTGATGCCAAAGTATTTGTTAGGAATTTCTGCTACTCAGTTTTAAACTTGCTGAGGGAATAGTAGAATCTATCTTCATGGATGTAATAATCAATGTAAGCAACCCAGAAGAGCACGTGGATCCATCAGCCCCAGATGCATAGGGTACCACAAAGCCCTACAGATTGCTGAAAGAACATGTTTAGAAATGCTTTATGTGGCTTTTAAAGAAAATACAAACAATGTAACTGTGAAAAAGCTTATGGAGGTGGTTCATTTTTTGTTGCCTGTTTCTTTGTGTTTAGTTTTGTTGGTGTTTTTTTGCACTGTAACTCACCCTTAGAATCATAGAATCATAGAATCATTAGGGCTGGAAGGGACCTTCAAAGGTCATCTAGTCCAACACCCCTGCAAGGAACAGGGATATCTCCAACTAGATCAGGTTGCTTAGGGCCTCATCCAACCGGGCCTTGAACGTCTCCAGGGATGGAGCATCCACCACCTCTCTGGGCAACCTGTTCCAGTGTTCTACAACTCTCATGGTAAAAAATTTTTTCCTAATATCCAACCTGAATCTACCTCCCTCTATTTTAAAACGATTACCCCTTGTCCTATCACAACTGGCCCTCCTGAACAGCCTCTCCCCATCTTTCTTGTAGGCCCCCTTGAGGTACTGGATGTCATGCTTGTCATGCTTGTCATGCTATAAACTCAAACTGTAGAACCTGAAGATCAGACAAGACAGCCAGCCAACCTACTAGTGAAAACAGACAAACTTTCCCCATACCATCTCAGTGAAAAGCAGCAAGCTAAAAACTTGCAGAAATATGGGAAGTTTTTTAACATGGATTGTTATTGATAAGACTACACATAAGACTGAAATGTCATTGTTAGCCTATCCTTGTGCTTTTCATTGATGTCTATCATTCCTATGTTCTCAGCTACATCAGAGAAACATCTGAGACTGAAACAACATAGTAATGCATTTAATTACATGTTCTAATTGACTTCTCTTGTGGCATAGATTTTTTATATCTGGAAAGACTGGCATTACATCTCCACCTTCACAAAAATAATTGATGCGCTCTAGGAAATTATTCTAATGATTTTATTTTCCAGATAAGCCTCATTTCCTTTTTCTTTACAGGAAGAAGACAGGCCAGTAGGTGGATTTTCTCTTCGTGGTTGTCTTGTCTCAGCTCTGGAGGACAACGGAGTCCCAGCAGGTAAGCACGAGCCTCTAAACTTTCATACATACGTATTTATGCTATAGCAATACAGTCTTTGAGTGTGGGTTTGTGTGTATGGCTGTGGGTATGCACAAGTGGGCTGGCCTTTCCTCTCCCTCTGCAAGCAAGGGAAGAAGCATACCACAAAAAATCCCCATACTGATGGGTTGTCCATACCAGAGGGGATTTTTTTTCAGTGTTATTTCCACATATCTTGAGTGTTCTCCTTTTTATAGGCTTTTCTCAGTCAGATGACCTCTGAGACAGTCCTAAGACACTGATTAATATTCCAGAGTTAACAGACAAAAAGGAAAGGCCTTCTTTTTGGATGTTGTTTAACTCAAAGTCTTTAGGCATCCCCAGATGCCATTCCTTTTCTGTGTGTCCTCTCTACTTATGCTATTACCTTTTCTTTTTGACCTGCTAGAACCCAAATGTAGGGGAAACATAAAGACAGCAACACAAAAAACAGTTCTGCTAGTGAATATGCTTAGCTTAGGCATTTGTCTAGAACCTCAGCCCCACAGATAAGTATTTCTGCTGTTAAAGTAATTTATTTTATGACAGTAAGCACAATGACAGTGTGGATCTTGAATAAGGAGCATCTTTCTAAAGACAAAAGACAGAGTCTAAAAAAGATATGGTCCAGGTTGGCAGGGCATGATGAACAATACAGTTCCTTGCTAAGCGGAACCCGACCAAATCTAACCTATTGCACAAACTGGTAGGGAGTTCATCCCTCCATTGTATAACTCAAGTAAGATTCTCCATCTAAACAGCAGCTATTTTATATGTGATGCATAGTACACAGTAATTTATACAGTCTATGTGAGGGATGTCTGTACTATATCTTTTTTTTTCAGAAGGTAAATCAAAGACACAAGAGCTTTAGATGTCTTACTCATAATGAAATGGAAAGGTCTGATACCCTAACTCACTAAACTAAAATTTTTCCCTATGAAGCTTCATATCTGCTACAAAACATTTCCCTGTGCACCTTCCTGATCTGTCATATTTTTTTCTCTGCAGGAGTGAAGGGCAATGTGCAAGGAAACCTCTTCAAAATCATCACCAAAAATGACACTCATTATTATATCCAGGCCAGCTCCAAGGCGGAGCGAGTACAGTGGATTGAGGCAATCAAACCACTGACATGAGTAAGGCAGACTACATGCCAAAAGACAAGTCACATTTGTGACCAAGTTTCCTGTTCTCATTGTCTGGGAGTGTTGTTTTTCCCTTAGATAGTCTATTTTTGTTATTTGTATCACCATAGCACCTAGCAATTTCTGGCAGACAAGCATCCTAGGTGCCTAGGAGCCAGGTAGCTCCAGAATAATTCCCCCCCAGGAACTTATCATCTAACCAAGAGACAAAAGACAACAGGTGGATACAGACAAATGGGGCTTTACAAAGAAACAATGAGATATAATATTCCAAGATGGAAGAAAAGAATTCTTTTGTACAAGTATTCAGTCTATATCTGGCAGATCCAGGTTGTGCTTTATCCTAAAGCAGAAGTGTCTTGCTCCTTTCCCCTTCATAAAGGCGCTCATAAACTTAATTAGTTAAGACTGTCTGAATCAAAGTCATGAAAGGTCCTGGTGTCTGAGGCTGTCTTTCTTGGTATACCACAAAAGTCTCGTGCTAAGCCACAACCCAGCTGCCAGGATAATCACTACTGCACAACAAGACAGGAGTCTGTCTGTCCATCCATCTGCTCTACCACTCAGTTCTCTGTTAGGCTAAAAAAGACCAAAGGATTTTCCTCTCCAGTATATAGATTATTATTTTGCTGGTAATGGCCCATACAGGATCCTGAGCATCAAATCAGACCAGTGGCAGTTATTACAGACAATTGCTGGCAATGAATATATTGGAAGAAATCACTCGGCCAAAGAAACAAGACTTTTCGTCCTGATTATCACTGTAAATCCATTTACATGGAGCACCATTGGGACTGAGAACTCTAATAGCAGTTCTGACTATTGCTTTTTCTATTTTAAGACATTAAGCCATTAAAGTTTCCATTATTTGTCTAGTAAACTTGACTTTGATATCATTAAAGATAAAGAAAGTTTAGTGCATTTGAATCTCCTATGCTCTTTTGACATGATTTTTCTCAGAGGGCAGTTTGAGTATACAAAAAAATGGTTCCATACACTGTAAATTTAGATTTATGTAGAAACTGAGGCATTCTCCACAACACCAGAGGGTAGAATGAAATGTATGAGATGATTAAAGCACCCAAGCAGCCTGCTGATATACTATTTTCATAAAATTCCACGTTATCTGAGTACCTCTATCTGACAGCCAGACTCTGCAGAGCTTCCAAAAGCCCTCTGAAGACAGCATGCTATGTATCTTCCCTGAAGTCAGAGGAATTTGATAGACCTCTATCCACAGAACCACTCTGCAGATTTTTTGTTCTCCAAGTTATGTACTGAAAGAAAAGTCTCTTCATCTAGAGACTTTCCCCTTCATCCTATGTTGTAACCAATCAGTCATAACAGAGCCAAAGACAGTAGCTATGATATATGCTCACATATGTATTAGAATAGCCATGGATTTAGGACTTCTTTCTAAATCTACAGCAATGAAATAACAGCACAACACACACGTGCATGCAAATCTTTAACAGAGCTGGTTAAAGAAGTTTGCCAGCAAAGATGCAGTTTTAATTAGATACAAGAATGGGCAATGCAGTTTCAGCTACAGATACCATTTCCTGGGGCTGGTCCGGAGAAGACTCTGAAATCCACAGCTGTTGAAACCCTTCAATTCATGAGAAGGCTACCTGTGAGAGACAGGGATGGTGGTAAGGCATTTATTGCTCTGCACTGGGAAGCACAGATCGCTTTGTGCTGATTCAGCAGAGCTTCCAGGAAAAGCAACTCCCTCTTGATAACATGAGCCTTGCTGGAGCCCACCACACACCCTTATTCACTTACAAGGAAATCTGCTTCTTTTTTCTCAGGCACACCACCTGCATACTGCCCAGTTCTTCTCACAAGGGTAACAGCCACCCCACTGCAGAGGACTGAGCTCCACTAGCTGACAGCCCTGGGGAGTTAGGGGACCACGAGGATGTGAGACACTGCATAGCATCATAAATCTTGCAGTTCAGGAGGCCAAGAGACTAACTCAGCAAAGGCTCTCTGATTTACCTGGACCTCCCATAGCTCTGCAATTGCTGAGTGTGTATGAGAAAAAAAATGTATATTTCAAACACATCAGTAATTTAAAAAGATACAGTTCCCATTCTCCAGAATCAGCCAGGGGAAAAAGATAAAACATTTCTCAGACAGGAGAAAGTACATTTGCCTCTGTCCCCTGGTGATATTGTGGTGTCCTTTTTTTCAAGCCACTTTGGTAAGCTTGATGTCCCCTGAGATCTGCAAAGCTTTCACCAAGTTCAGGGGCTGAATGCGGTGAGTGAAGTCACACAGCTGCCGCCCATCAAGCAAGACTCGTATTTGCTGGTGTTCACATAAGATCTCCATCTGCAACAGAAAAGGACAGGGGAGGGTGTTAGAGATCAGCAGTAGAGTTGATTACACCAGCATGGACTTAGAACACCATGTGATGGGGATAGTGAAGCACAAAGTTACTGGTTCTTCTGAAATGCCCCAAATAAATAACCTACCCTCTGCTGAGATGATACTGTAAAGCTCCTTATAGTGAGTTCCCTCACTAAGACTAGGGAAAGGAATGGATTTCTCCTGCCAAGGCTTGAACTGCTGCTCTCTGTGCCACACTAGACTAGTTAACCTGGCAATGTCAATAGTTAGCTATTTGTGGTCATATACGTAGCCTTCACCCTTTCTCTCCTCCTTTTCTTTTCCCTATTCATAGTACCCCAAAAATTACCTTAAACGTGTCGCCTGCTGTAAACGGGAAGTAGGGAATAGTCTTCTCTTCTCTTCCCCATTTCCCACCAATTCGTGCATTTCGGGTGATGGATTTGTCACTAAAGTTAACTGTAAATAACAGCCCAACATCTTTGTTTGCATCCACTGGATCACAGAGCAGAGTCACTGAAAAGCTGAAAAAAAACCCCACAATTAAAGGACTTGGAATTTCAGTAATGTGAAAGGATATGGTGAACATGGCAGATGTCTATAAAGACTAGGGGCAGACACTGATTTCTTGTCAGACTGAAAACACGGGACTTCTACAGGCTTAGAAGCTGCAGAAAGGAATGAGAACAGGCTGGTCTTTGTTTCTCCTCCAGTTTCCAGTAGGATGCTAGCGATTTCTGCTTTCCCTCTCTCAGGACTGAAATCAAACTAACATTTATGCATGAGCCAATTCTAATTCATGTCCTAAAAGGGGGTATGGTAAATTCTTCACCAGTGGAAGCACTGGAGTTTACCACTGTAAATGCAAAAAAGTGTAATGATAAGCACAGTTGCTATCATCATCCAGATTAAACACAGCAATCAATCTGTACCTCCTGTGCCAAAACCACTGGGTTTTAAATGGTGTTGATTCCAGCCCCCTGCAGACAACCAAGATGCAGGTCCAGAATCACACCTCTTCCTGGAGGAGAAATGCCACTTCTGTGCCCCCTCCAGTTTGCATTAGATAAGGGCAAGCAGTAGGAAATCCTGACAGGTCAGTCAGAAAGGCTGGACAGTGAATTCTTTCTTGCCCTTTTAATCTTAGTCTAAGAGCAAGAAAATTAAAGCAAGCCATAAATTATGAATCTATCTGTCTTCCTCCGAAGACCACAGACCCTCGAGAAATCTTTTGAATTTAGAAGAGAGGTAGTAGCAGGTATGATGGGGTAAAGCCCCTACCAGTCCCTTCACCTACCTCTTGGGGTTGGAGTGTACCATTCCTATGACTGTGAGTTTCATGGCTGGTCTCAGGCCACCTTTAATTTCACCAACATACTGCTCCACCTGCAGGGAACAGCAAAAACATGCTGTGGTAGGTCATGCTATGGATAAACCAGCTTTAACAGCTGCTTCGGTCACCTCATAAACTTTAGTTTCTGACCAGAACTGCCATCAGTAAGATGAGCAGCCGCCGTCTGTGCTCTGCCTGACCAATCCGTGTGTCTGGTGGCCCTGGGAACAGCCACCCTGACTTCAGCAGGTACTGCAAGCGTGGAGGCTGTGGTGACTCACACGTCTCACGGGTGACAGGACCCAGAGAGCTGACACACCGGGGGTGAGCCAGTAGCAGCTGCTGCGGTCTGACGACGCAACGAATCTGGCTGCAGCGCACCATGCAGCAGATCCAAAGCTTCGTGGCAGCATGATGCAGGGTGCGGACTCTGCGCACTTATTGTGCCAGTTCAAGCTTGTTACCAAGATTTTGGTAGGCTAACTTGACACCAGCAGGCTTTACCTCAGGCCAGGTAGCCTCTGTCCCCTGCCATAAGAGCACAAAGCCAGCATGGATGCTGCCGTGCTGCTGCACATTGACAGGAAACAACTGTGTCCTTGCAGCTTCTCCCAGTCACGCCTGTCCCTGTCACTTTTTCAAAGCCAGAAAACAGCTTCTCAGTGGATCTACTTCTGTCCCATTCACAGAGACCTGTAGTTGCAAACTCCACCCAAACATCAGAGCTACATTTACTTTCTCCAAGTAATTCTCCAACTGCTTCAACAGTCGCTGGAGAAACTAATGCAGGCTATGGCTGACACGGAAAAACAAAAGAGGCAGCTTGGAAACAAGGGGGTGTTTTGAGACTTCAGTTTCAGAAATGGCTTTAAAATGTAAATGCCTGGGCACTACACTGTAGCATGTAATCGCTCTCTATGCAGAGTCACTTAGAAAGAAGCTGCTATAAAATGCTAAGCGTTATTAGCAATTTGCGTAACACTGATAATTTTCCAAGGCAATGCACAGCAGACTCTGTTTTAGATAAAAAGCACCTTATCGTTCCAGTGCTACAAGGTAAAAATTCAGACCTTTTTTGCTAGAAGACCTGCACAGTATATGCATTGTTTAGTATTTTGACTATGAGAAGCGCTACATCCATGCACAGACAGCAAATGGGCTTCTATTCGAACATAAGTTGCTACGGGTATTTATTTCATACATATTTTTAAATTTTGGAAAATATATCCAGTGTTACATTTTAAAATTATTGAATACCAGCTTCCTTAACAGAAACATAAATTCAAGCTGAAAAATGTTTTGCCTATACTTCATTTCCTAATTTCAATATACTAGTTATATCTTCTGCTACGATGACCTTAAACAATTTATTTTCCCACCTTGATATTTACATCCAGCCACCTTTACAGCTTCGTGGATATATTAATAAACCTCTAATTCCTAACAAGACTAATATTGCAAGAAATTAATTTAAAAATACCTTCAAAAATGACAGCACTACTGCTGATAGTTAGCAATGTTCACCCTTCCAGAAGTGGGTGGGTGACTCCAGCAGGTATGTTTTGAACTTCGTAAAAAAAGCAAAGCATCAATCACCTGACATGTCTTATGTGAGGGAGCAGCTCCTCAAGTAAGGAGTCTGACTGTAAGGAGGTACTTTAAATTGAAAAAAGCAATTAAAGAGTGGGTAACAAGCATAAAAGATCTCAGGCCGAAAGAACTTCATCCTCATACAGGTCCCGTGTCCCACTAAAGCTCTTTCCATGCCTACACAAGAGCCAAGATACAAAATAATACCCCCAAATTGAAAGTGCACGTTGAAAAATTGTTTGTGCAGTGCTGCACCACAGTAAGTGCCATCACTAAAGGTACAGGGAATCAGAACTGAAGAAATCAAATGATGACCGCGTGGTTTCAACACCAGCATAGCTGAAATGAGTTCAGAGGCATGACGACCCACTCATCATTTCTCTGCCAATGTTGAGTTGACAGCACAGGTGAAAAATACTCAAGGTGCCATAGGAGGTAATGGTACAAACTCCTGCAGCATCTTACGTGGTTTACTGGTGGGTCCCAGCACGTGCACACAGACATAGCCCCTTTCCCATATTTTCCATTCAGGAGCCCTGGAGGCTCACTCGGTCACTTACTTTGGGACACCTCTCCTCTGTCATCACCGCTCTGCCTCTTACACTTGCCTTCGCCGCAGCAGTCCCCGGAGGAGTTTTTGTTTTGTAGGTCAGGACAAAAACAAACAAAAAGCCCAGAATAAAGGGAGGATGTTGGAGGGGGCTTATCTCTGCCAAACACCAGCTGGACACCACCCAGCTGAGTCACGGCCCTCTGAGCCTCATCCCGCTGAGGAAACGTTGCAAATACCATGGCTGGTGTGGGTGGGGGGCAGAGGGACCGCAAGGATGGGCAGGACCCATCGCCCTGCACAGGAGCACCTGGCAAGCCGATGCCCGCAGCTATGCCTGCAGCTATCTATACCCACACATTTTTATGTAAGTATTTAAAACTATGGATGTGCATATAACATACTGTATTTGTGTATGTAACGCATATAAATAACATGTCCATTTTTTGGATACCATTTCTGTCCTCTCTCAAAGGGGTAAATTAGAGTGAGGTACACCTATAGGGTTATACACACGTAGAATCACAGAATCATAGAATGGTTAGAGTTGGAAGGGACCTCAAAGATCATCTAGTTCCAACCCCCCTGCCATGGGCAGGGAAACCCTCCACTACACCAGGTTGCCCAAAGCCTCATCCAACCCGGCCTTGAACACCTCCAGGCCATGTACAAGGGGTAAATACACACACACACGTATGCATATAGCCGTACACGTACGCTTCTCTCTCTGTATGTGTACACAGCCGTATATAACATATGACTATACAGCCCCCGCCCTGAGGCACGACACGCAGCACTCGCACTCCTCGGGCTCCTCCGCCGCGCAGCCCCCACCACTTCTCGCGCAAGGCGCACGTGGCGGAGAGGCGCCGCGGCGCGGCGCTCCCGCGGCGCGCCAGGGGGCGGAGCTTCGGATGGAAGCCAATCAGAGCCACGAGAGGCCCGAGCGAGGGGCGGGAGCTGGCGCGCGGTAAGTGGGCGGAGATGGGCGTGGTTAGAGGAGAGGGCGGGGCTTAAGCTGCCCTTGATTCTGAGGCGGCGTCAGGCGCCCCAAAGAAAAATGGTGGTTTATTTACATCCTGCCGCAGCTCGGCCAATGGGCGGGCGTCTGCCCGCGTGCCCGCCCGGCGCCGCAGTCAGCTGAGGCGCTGCCCAAGATGGCGGTGGCGAAGGAAGGTGTTGCCGGGATGGTGCAGTAGAGCCCAGCGCCGCCGGGCTG